CTTTATCCATTCATCTGATGGGCATTTAGGTTGCTTCCAATTCTTGGGTATTTTAAACAGTGCTGCTGTGAACACTGAGGTACGTGTATCTTTCTGAGTTAGAGTTTTTGTCTTTTCCAGATATATGCTCGGGAGTGAGATTGCAGAATCACACAGTAGCTCTAATTTTTAGTTTTTTAGGAGCCTCCATAGTGTTGTCTGTAGTGGCTGCACCAACTTAAGGCAAGTGTTTTGAGAATAGCTGCAGTGGAAGAACAGATTCATTTCTCCCTTGAATGCTGCAAGATGCAGTGGTAGCCTCCCCTTATGGTGCCATGAAAATAAGAATTCTCTGCATTACGCCAAGATCTCAAGAAGCCACAGCTCAGAGAGCCTGGCTCTCACTATGAGGGTCAATGTTTTATAAAGTAATCCCCCACACACAACAGGGACTTGTAATTTTTGCCCAACTTACGTGTCAATGTTTTCCTACTCCTTGCCCACCCATTCAGCTCTCTGCCTAGAGCTGAGCTACCCATGTGGCAGCCACTGACTAATGTGGCTATTTAAATTTAAATTTAATAACATGAAATAAAATTTAAGTCAGTTCCTTGTTCTAATCACTTTACACATAGACACACTAGCTAGTGTGGGTGTGCATATGCTCAATTGTGGCCAACTCTTTGGGACCCATGGACTATAGCCAGCCAGGCTCCTCTGTCCATAGACTTTTCCAGGCAAGAATACTGGAATGTGTTGCCATTTCCTTCTCCAGGGAATCTTCCCGACCCAGGGATCGAACCTATGCCTCTGGGGTCTCCTGCATTGGCAGGCGGATTCTTTAACACAGTGCCACCTGCGAAGCCATGCAGCTAGTGGCTGACCTGTTGGACAGCCCACTGTAGAACATTTCCACCACTGCAGAAAATATCATAGGACATTGATAGCCACTTCTGGGGTTTTGTTATTCTTGTGTACATTATCTTGCTATTTCTAATAAATATTACTGTAAGCCCAGCCATTGGTGGTTTGCAGATTCCTGAACTCGGTTCATGTTCCTGATTCACACCCCTTGCTTCTCCCTGCCCAACTATGGAGGGTTCTGAAGGCCGAGAAGATGTGTCCTCACAGAGCAGAGCGGCTGCTTCTGTGCCTCCTTCTGTTAGCAGGTGAGTCGAGAGGGGTCCCCTCCACACTGCCTGCAGGGCTGACTGGCTAGTCTCTTTCTTTCTCACCCTCATCCCTGACTTTCTCTGTTACTGCCCAGGTTAAATATCTTAAACGGTTCCTCAGACTCCGGGGTCCTGATGGATTGAGCTGAGCAGGACGCATTAATCACGAGATCTTGAATTGGCTCATTCCTTCTCCCATTAGTAGCTCCCTCCCTCACCATGACCTCAATTTCCAATCCAATCTACGTGCTAACAACAAGACAGCAACCATGGCGACCTGCAAATTGGAACCCAAAGAGAAAAGGCTAGACTCCTGTTTCCGAGCAATTATTGACTTCTAGAAAGAAAGAGAAGGAGTGATAGGAAAGGAGAAGGAGCCGCTCCTTGCTTCCCCAGGTAGTGGTGTTTATTTTGCCAATTGAGTGAAAGGAAAGAAGACTAGTGAGAGATCAACCTTACCAATTTCCTAAACTGTAAAGAAGGCTCATCTGTCTTTGCTCCTGCAGTTTCTTGGTCCCAACTAAAACTCCTCCTATTAGCTCATATGTTTCATTCATTCATTCACTTGTTCATTTGTCTTAACCAAACCTGCACATCAGTATCACCTGAAAAGTTTTTTTCAAAGCACACAACTCAAACTGTAGGCAAGCAAACTGAATCTGCATTAGTAGAGGATGGAGAAGTGGATGGAGGAGATTGGGGGGTTGGAAGGGGCTCATATACTTTGCAAAACATTCCCAGGCTATTCTGCTGCTCAGCTGGGAGAAAACACTTGCAAATCATGTGACCAACAAAGGCTTGATTTCCGAAATATATAGAGTCCATACAAAAAACAACCACCCAATGGAAAGATGAACAGAAGACCTAAACTTTTCCCCAAAGAAGACATACAGATGGCCAATAGGCATATGAAAAGATGCTCAACATCACTAATTATTAGAGAAATGAAAATTGAAACAACAATGAGATGTCACCTCACACTGGTCAGAATGGTCATCATTAAAAAGTTTACAAATAACAATGCTGGAGAGGGTATGGAGAAAATAGAATGCTCCTCTGCGCTTGGTAGGAATATAAGTTGGTGCAGCTGCTGTGGAAAACAGAATGTAGGTTCCTCAGAAGACTAAAAATAGAATTACCAGCAACCCCATTCCCGGGCATATATCCAGACAGAACTGTCATTCAAAAAGATATATGCATGCCAATATTTGCAGCAGCACTATTTACAATAGCCAAGACATGGAAAAAACCTAAGTGTCCATCAGCAGATGAATGGATAAAGAATATGTGGCATATATATATATATATATATATAAAAAATATATATATAGAGAGAGTATTAGTCAGCCATAAAAATGAAATAATGCCATTTGCAGCAACATGGATGTAACTAGAGATTATCATAGTAAGTGAGGTAAGTCAGAGCAAGAAAGACAAATACCTTATGAAATCACTTATATACAGAGTCTAAAAAATGACACAGATGACCATATCTATGAAACAGGAACAGATTCACGGACGGATAATAGGCTTGTGGTTGCCAAGAGTGGGGGAGCAGGTTGTGGGAGGGGTGGAGTGGGAGTTGGGGCTAGCAGATGTAAGCTTTTTATGTCTAGAATGGATAAACAACACGGTCTTACATAGCACAGAGAACTATATTCAATATCCTGTGATAAACCATAATGGAAAGAAAACTTTTAAAAGATTATGCATTTACCTGTCTATATATATGTAGATATCTGAATCACTCTACTATACAGCAGAAATGAACACAACACTGTAAATCAACTATACTTCAATTAAAAGTATTACAACAGAGAAAGAATTTAATCTCTTTGTGTCTCAGTTTGTTCATCTGTAAAATGGGGATAAATTTACTTCTCTGGCAGCATGGCAGTGAAGCTAAATGAGATGGGTAATAATGTGCTGGGACAGTACCTGAATATACTGTTTTCATGTAAAAACTGAATACTAAATGGCTGGCCACTCACTCAAAAATGGCAACCATGACTACTGCAATAGGCTGTTTGATCACAATCTGGTCATCCTCCTTTGTCCTAAACCCCGGCCCCTGCAGAGTCCATGTCACAACAATGGAGACGAACCGGTGGGGTCACACGGGCCCAGAGTAAGTCTGAGCTGTGTCCTCTCCCATCTGTGGGGCTGCAGTAAATCATGCTCTAAGACCCCCAGCTCTCCCTTCGGTGAAAGTGGGATGGGGGGGTCAGTCTTTCTCAAAAGCTCATTTTACAGATTACATGGTTACAAATGCAAAGTGCCTGGCACAGCGCGTGCATGTGTGTGTGTTGAGTCGCTTCAGTCATATCTGGCTCTTTGCGATCCCATGGACTGTAGCCCACCAGGCTCCTCTGCCCATGGGATTCTCCAGGCAAGAGTACCAGGGGATCTTCCTAACCCAGGGATTGAACCCGCGTCTCTTACATCCCCTACCTTGGCAGACAGGTTCGTTACCACTAGCGCCACCTGGGAAGCCCCGCCTGGCACAGAATAGGCTCTTTATAAACAGACCCAGGCCACTAGGGACACTGGATGTGGACATTGAAGGCAGCCGGGGAGGAGCTCGGGGGGATGGGAGTGGGCGAGTTGGAGGCAGGGCTGAGCCCAGCCATTTCCCCATTCACACCTGGAGACGTCCCCTTGAGACCACTTTGAGACCACCTTGAGACCAGATGTCTCTGGTCTTCAAGAGCCGGAGGGTAGGACCCCCTCCCATTGGAAACTGTACTGGGGATTGTGAGCGAGACGGCGAGAAACACAATTACCGTCAACATCAGCAACCAGATGCCGGATGCGGCTAAGGCCCAGCGCCTTAATTGGGGATTAGAGGCTGAACTTTACCGACGCACTGCCTTGGCGGCTTCATTAGAAGCTGGAAAATTCTCCATGCAGGTGCGATGACCTTTTGTGAAGTGGCCGAGAGACTGGCTCGACCGCAAGGAGCATCGTGCACCCAGCTGGACCCTGCAGCCGTCTCCCCACCTGCCCCACTTCCTGCCCAGGGCAACACGGGTTCACCTCCCATCCCCACGCTCCCCCAGTGCCTCCCCCTACCCCGGGGTGATGGTGATGGGAGGCAGGTGACCAAAGATTTGCGCTTACCTGTATGGCATCCACAGTTTGAGCCTGAGCAATCCTGGTGTCCCTGTATTATTTTTCTCCCCAGAGAGGAGGAAAGGTCTGAACTCGGTCTGAACATCCATCAGTGTGTTTAGTAAAGCCACTTTAAAACACGAAACCTACATGTTTCTCTTTAAAACGCAGGTGATCACGACCTGTCAACTCTGTCTCACATGATCCAGGTGGTAAAGGCCACAAACACAGATACCACGTGATTCTCCCAGTGACCCTAAGTAAGCAAGGACAGAAGATGCTCTTCATGGCTCCTGAGGCAGAACTGGCCAGTTCCAGAGGCAGACCCCATCCCGGCCATCTGATGCTCAATCCTTCTCACCAGCCTAGCGTGGGTGTGTGTCCCGCCAGGTGGGACCTGGAGTGGCTGACGGCATCGGGCACTTGTTGAGCTGGGAAGGAGGAAGCACTGCCTGGTGGGGGGCAAGTGAGGACAGAGGCCGTGAGGGCATGACTGTTCTGGCAGTCGAGGGATGCTGAAAAGAGAAGATCTGGAAGAGGGACATAAGACCAAGAGAAGAATTTTGAAAGAATAATGAACAAGTCAGAACTCAGGACCTCCTGGGAGAAGCAGACATTTCTACTCTGTAGCCTTTTAAGGAAGGGCAACTGCTCCTCACCCGCCAGGCCTGGTGGAGGGCAGAACTGGACAGAGCAACTTCTCTAAGGCCCTGTGGACTGGGCTTCAACAGCATTTACCTCCGCCTGGGTAGCATGTCCTCTGGTCTTCTGGTTCTGGAAGGACAGTAACCAGCCAGCAGGCAGTCAGGGATGGAGACATGCTTTGCTGATGGCACCATGGAAACCGTAAGGAAACGTGAGTCCTGTCCTGGTTCACGGAGCTTACAGTCTAAACAGGAAACTAAGAAAGACAGACTTCTAAAGATGAGTCATGGTAACTAGATCATCTTCAACTTTCTTGCAACTTCAATTCAAAGCATTTTAGTACTTGATATTATGATCTTTATATTTGTCTTTATATAAAGTATTTAGTCTAATGTGTCCTGGAAAGCATAAATGTGGTTATTGTTGTTGATATTATTACCTTATTTTACACTGAATTACAAGCTACTTGAGGATGAAGCTATATTTTATTCACATTTTTGTCCTCTGTACCCAGTCCTGCATGTTTTGAACTAAATACAGAATAAATGTTTGTAAATTGTCAATGAATGAAAGTCATTTAAACGTTACAGAAAGTCTCTGGAGAGATTGTCTTTCCTCTAAAGACAAGGAATCTGAGATACAGGTAGGGAAAGTGATACACAGTTAGTTACAGAGCTGAGGCTAGAAGACATTGTATGCCAAGTGCATAAGGAGGACCTGGAATTCTGCACTTAGCTAATCAAGGAGGGCTTCATGGAAGAGGTGTCACTTTCATAGGCTTTTTTGCAATGAATGAACTTCAGAAAGACACATAAGGAAGAGGTATTAATAACAGGGAACTTCATAAATAGCTCCTGGAGGAAGAAGGAGTGCTCTGCAGGGATGCGTTTAGAGAGCAAAATGTCCAACCTGGCAGGTGGAGACTAAGGCTGTGGGGGGCCTCGAGTGTCAGGCTGAAGTTGTGGCTTTATCCTGAAGCCCGTTAGGTCTGGATGCTACCCGGACCACCTTCCATACCCAAAGACACCAACTCTAGGCCTGTGTCCCTTCAGTGTCAGGCAGGGCTGTGTTGGCCGCTAGCTTCAGATCCTGAGAGGATGGGAGGGCTTTCACCCCAGGGCGGCACAGGGCCATCTGCTGGGCGGCATGATTCATTCATTAGCACCAGGAAGAGAAGATGAGCAATCTGCCTCAGCCTCTAATGAGAAAGATTGGGGGCCGTGAAGTGCATGTTTATTACTGAGGGTGCTGCATTTATTATGGACTCTGGAAAGAAGAAGGAAGCTGTGCTCGGAGACCATCTGGAAGAGGTGGCAGGAGGAAGGTGCCCATGACTTTGAGCCCAGCCTCCAGGGCTCACACTCAGCCCCCCGAGAAATGTTTGCTCAACTCTGGGTTCACTCATTCACACAGCAGCTATTTCTTAAATACCGTCTGTGTGTGCCAGGCCCCTACATTAAGGACTGGAGGTCTGTGCCTGGGAGGACCTTGAAATCTGGTGACTGCTGGGGACAGGTGCACAGTCAGATACTGAAGAATAAATTCTGCTGGGATACGTTCACCCAAAGCACGGGCTCCTAACCTAGTCTGGTGGTGGCCCGGATTGGAATAATTATCTGGGGACCCTTGTGAGCCATGTAAGGGGCTGGTTCTTTAACTTTCCTGCAAGGGGAGCCAGTGGAAGGATCAAGATAGGGTGTCACATGGTCACATCTGCTCCATCTCACCACAGGGTACCCAGCGCCCCTGGCTGCCTCCTGACTTCTCTCTTGTCTCCTTCCACCATGGCTGTTCTGGGCTCCAGCTCCTCGGGGACAATGATGCCAGGATGCTACCCACCTTGGACTTCTGGAATTGGTGTGTTCAGCAGCTGGACAAATGTTTGAAGGCAGGACGACCAATGGGAATCATACCACATGGACTAATGACACGCTTGGTTCCCCCAACCTGACCCCAAAGGGCTGCTAAGGCACTGCTGACCTAGCGTAGAGGGCAGCCACCCCAGACCAAGAACTGTGAGAAGACCTAGAATCAGCATTGGGGCTGGGGCGTCCTAGAGCTCATGTGACAAGGGAGGGTGGAACGGCTCTGGGCGGGGTTCTGAGATCCAAGCTCTGAGGATGCAGCAGCCCTGCAGTCCTGACTCCCCACTGCACACCCATGTCAGCACAGGGTGTGGGGGAATTGTGAGTGAATAAATGAGTGAGTGAGTGAGTGTTCAGATCCCAGCTTAGGCACTTTCTAGCTCTAGGACTTTGGAAGAAGGGTCACTTCACCACCTGAGTCTCACCTTCCACATCTGTAAACAGTGATTACAAAGCGTCCTGCATAGAATTGCTGAGATGAGGATGTGTGGTGGCTATGAGGCTAGTACAATGCCTGATGCTCAGGAAATGTCAGAAAATTCTTGAGAGAATATGTCTCTGAATGTGTAAGTTGTTTTTAGAAGGATTGTGCCCTATGTAGGAAATTAGACGACCTTGAGGGGGAACATTCCTTTCCCAGGTGTGGCCTCCTGGGATGTTTATTTCAGAGATACTGATCTCTGCTGAAACTGAGACTTAAAGAAAGCCTAGGGTTTGGCGAAAGTCACACCAGCAACCTCAAATCTAGGTTTTTTGTCACTCCATCATCAGGGACTTTCAACAAAAATTCACTGGGCCCCCACCAGTGCCTGGCACACCGCCATTCTCTCCACAACACCCCAGCAGGGACAGGACAGAGCGCCCCCACCCCCAAAGTCCAGCCTTGTAGACCATCTTACCCACCCTCCTCCTCTCACGGACGAGGGAAAGGGTGACGGGTACAAGGTCTCTGAACAGAATGTAGTGATCTGAGCTCGGGGACCTGCTTTCTGACTCCTGGTCTGACTCCTCCCTGACACCGAGACCCGGGTCTGTTCCTGAGCTTTAGTGGACAGCAGTGCTTGCTTCACCCAGGTGTATGGGGATTGGAAATGAAGTGGGGGGTGAGGGAGAAAGAGGGAGGGAGACAGCAGAGAAGAGAATTGGCTAGAGAAATGGGAGCTTATTAAGGCCTTATTGTCCCCCAGGCAGGAGAAGTAATTCTGCAGTGCCCTCCGTGAACTTTCCAGAGGTTTGGGTAAGGCTGAAGAAATTACAGGAACAGAGTGGTGGCCAAGCTCCTCTAGATGGGTCTCCCAGGGTCAGCCCCAGGGTCTCCTGTCTGCTCTTGAGATGGTGGATCTAGAGTTCCTACATCCATCCTTATCTATCCTTGGGCTCTGCAGGGGCTGTGTGGATGGGTGTGAGGCAGAGAAACAGGCAGGGAATGGGCAGAGAGAGAGACAGTTGTGTTGCCAAACCGCATTCTAAACTACTGCCTCAGAGGCACATTCAACTCGTGTGTGTGTGTGTGTGTGTGTGTGCAGACACATGCATGTGCAGGGACATGTGCTAGTCAGAGTTTTCTAGAGAAAAGGAGTCAATGGGATGTGACTATGATATTATATATAGAATGTATATACACATATATGGGCTTCCCAGGTGGCACTAGTGGTAAAGAGCCCGCCTGCCAATGCAAGAGACATAAGAGACATGGGTTTGATCTCTGGGTCGGGAAGATCACCTGGAGGAGGACATGGCAATCCACTCCAGTATTCTTGTCTGGAGAATCCTATGGACAGAGAAACGTGGCTGGCTATGGTCCATAGGGTCACGAAGAGTCAGACACAGCTGCAGCAACTTAGCACACATGCATATCCTATACATATATATATGTGTGTGTGTGTGTGTGTGTGTGTGTATAATAAACAGACTTATTATAAGACTTTGGGTCATAGGCTCATGTAGTTATGGAGCTGGCAAATCCAGAATCTGTAGTTTGCCAGAATCTGGCAGGTTGGAGACCTCAGACAGCTGATACTATAGTTTGAATCCAAAGGCCATCTACTATAGAACAAGAAAAACCAGTGTTGCAGATGAAATCCAAAGGCTATCTACAGTAGAAATCTCTTGCTCAAGGGAGGCTGACTTTTTTTCCCCTCTCTTCAAGCCTTCAACTGATTGGATGAGGCCCACCCACAATAGGGAGAGCAATCTGCTTTATTCAGAGTCCACAGATTTAAATATTAATCTCATCCAAAGCCACCCTCACAAATACACCCAGAATAACATTTGACTAAATATCTTGGGCACCCCATGGCTCAGCTGAGCTGACACGTAAAACTAACCGTGCCACAGAGCATGTGTTTGCATGGTGTTTGGGGGAGGAGTAGAAGGCATAGTGTCTCCCACAGCCACACCAGCTCCCTGCACCAGGAAGTGTCCTTCCCATGGAACTCAGTGATGAGAAACCAAATCTCACCCAGATGGCCTCTCAGGAAGTCTGAGAGGGTCACGCTCAGGCCTGTGAGGACGGACATGTTCCCAGGCCAGTGTGGCACAGTATGTCTCTTGGTGGGGGTCCCCGTCTGCACCAGTGATGTGTCAGCTCTGTGTCCCCGTCTGGAGGTCAGTATACGGAAGTGACCAGAAACTAGTGACAGGAAGCCTATGGTGCTCAGTGAGGGCCAGGGAAATGGGCACCTGTTCTTCACAGCCACGCTGCCTGCCACTTTCCCAGAATAATGACACATCACTGTCCAGAGAGTTTCCCATTACCCTGCTGTGCAAGCCTTTCTTTGCAAGCTCACAGAAGCACTAAGTGGGGAGTGTCACGTCAAAGAGCTCGGGGCTCGGCTGATACAGCAATCACCTGTCCCAGGAAGCCCGTGGTATGTGTTTATCAAACCAGGAAATGGCACGCAGAACACAGAAAAATGGACAAACTCTGGTGTCCTCAAAACAGGCGCTCCCAGTTATCCGGTGAGATACGCCACTGTTTGCTTTACCCATCTGGTCTGGGACCTGACCCTCTCCCTTTTAACTAAACCGCACCCCTCTTGGAGTTCAGACCCTTTTCCTTTATTCTGGTCTCTGTAGAAATGGACAATAGCCAGTCACCCCCTCCCAAGTTCCTCCTCCCGACTCTCCTGACTGCTGCCACCACCTGCATCACACCCACATTTAACTTAGCTTTGGCTGCCATCTTTAAAGTGAAAGTGTTAAGTAGCTTCAGTTGTGTCCAACTCTTTGCAACCCCTTGGAGT